AATGTTCGAACATCAGCATTTTCCCTATGTGAACAGGACACTGAGAGAATTCAGATATTAAGATCTGATGCTTAGGGAATCAGCGGGGATGACCCTCTGAATGAGGTCTGCAGTTTTCACAAGCTCTACCAGCTTCTTGTAGGACGGCAGGACAGTGAATGTTAACGTGGTCCATGAACAAGCAGCTCTGTAGACAGATGTCAGGAAATGTGGCCGATCTTATTTTGGTCATGGAGGTTGATAATATGCATAAGCATCAAAATGCTTTCAAAAGCTCTAGGGGAAAAAAAAAAAAAAGAACATGACCTCATCCTGCCATCTACCACTTTGCTAACTTCCCTGAGTACTAACTGTCCCCACTTCATGCTACTGCCTAAAGCAGAGAGCCTCACACACGACGTGCCCCAATAAAATCCCCTGTTGTGGAGATGGTGCTGCTCTTTGGTTGACTGCTAATGGGACTGATTCTCCTTCAAGTCCTCCACAGAATTTACCTAATCTTATTAGAAAGAATAACTTCATTCAGCGCTTAGAGAACGGCAGTAAATTTCTTGAAAACGACAGTTTTTGGCTGAGATAAGAGAAAGACGAAATACAACTCCAGGCAAGCTTTACTCTTTAGTTTACCAGGTAATGACAAAGCATGGCCCTGAGCCAGGCCCAGTGCCAAGCCCAAATCCCTCCCCTGAGATACCCTCCAAACCAAAGTGTGCAGGAACGAGGCACAGCGGCCACAGACTGCTTCCCAGTGGGGAGGTACAGGGACAGAGCAGGAGCCGCCTTGCTGTCACACAGCAAGCAGGCGGCAGCAGCAGGAGGCCCACAGCAGGTTCAGAGGGCCAGAGGCCTCGGTCCCAATCCCGAAGGCAGGAGCATGATTGTTAAGGAACGGTAAGCAGGGTGATGACACCACCTGCAGGAGAAAATCCAATCTGCTTCACCTTCCCCAGAGCCCTCCCCTCGGCTGCAGCTGGACCGACCAGCCCACGGCGTACACTGGAGCACACCCCACGGGCTCCAGCCGATTCTCTCCACTCGCCCCCGACACACCAGCAGGCCTCCCCTCCATGCAACACCCTCTCCCTTCATCTCCCACCCTCCCACCCACCAAACAAGCCTCATCCACAGAGGCCCTTCCTTCTCTCCACAAAGCTGGAATTCTCCTGTTTTGCTGGATCTCTCAGCATGGATGAGATCCCTACAGGGCAGGGAGCATGACTCACAAATACATCTTTGTATCCTCACTGCCCAGCACCAGGCAGCTTAAGAAATGTTTTCCGAGTAAATGAGCGCACAAATCAATGAGCAAATGACTGAATTCATGAGAGAGCAAACAAGTGAATACATTACAAAGAGAAATGGCCACAGTCTTGTTAGAACTGCCCACCGACCTCTAAAGCATCTAGAAAGTCTGAAGCAGAAAAACCTTGGCAAATCAAACACGGGGGAAGCAGGATTGCGTGCTCTGAGCGAGACAGCATCCGAAGGTCCAAATAAATGACTGTGTGCCCAGGGGCACTTCAATTCAAAAACACTGATACAGAGGAAAAGAAGGGCAAAGAGTAATCAAGTCAACAGCGGCTATCAAACTGCACGGGGCTAGCAGGGAACCGCAGGGGCGACAAGACAACAAGGGACCGCCGCGCAGCTCCGTTTAACACTGAGTCCTCGCCCCAGGGCTCCTGCCGTGGAATCATGCAAGGAAGGTGGTCAAGAGTTATGTGTCAGGGGTGTGCCTCACAGGTTAGTAATTATAATAAATAAAAAACAGCATCAAAAGCAAAACTGGACACAACTTAAACACCCACTAAATAGAATGTCTTCAGAAACGTTTCACCTACAAGCAAACTGAAGAAATGAATGTATTTTAATGAATATTACAAAGCCATTAACAATCATATTTTCAAAGAAAATTAGTGTCATGGGAAAATACATTATGTAAAGTAAGTAAAAACAGGCTGCACTTGGTGGCTTACATCTGTAATCCCACCACTTGGGAGGCCGAGGTGGGTGGATCACTTGAGGTCATGGGTTCAAGATCAGCCTGGCCAATGTGGTAAAACCCCATCTCTACTAAAAATACAAAAAAAATTAGTCAGGTATGGTGGCGGGCAACTGTAATCCCAGCTACTCAGGAGGCTGAGGCAGGAGAATTGCTTGGACCTGGGAGGCAGAGGTTGCGGTGAGCCACGATCTCATCACTGCACTCCAGGCTGCGCAACAGAGCAAGACTCCATCTCAAAAATAATTAAAAATAAAATAAGTAAAAATAGATATATAATTAGACACACTACTTGATCTCAAGTCTATGTAAAAAGGAAAACACACACACACATGCCTCCCAAAAAGACAAAGAAGATAAGCTTTTCTAACATCCTGGGGAAACCAGGGTGGCAGTTTACATGGGTTTTTATCCTTCTTCCTGAGACTGGTCTTGGGAGGTTGCACAGCAGGCAGAAGAGACTGTGCCCAGTGGCCTCACACATTCCTAAGTTTGAGTCCTGGCTCTGTAATGTCAAAATCTCAGAACTTTGGGCTTGTTTTTTAACCCCTTCAAGCCTCAGTTTCCTCATCTGTCAAACCGGAATAAAAACAGTGTCCACTTCACCAGGCTACTGTGAGAAATGATCAAGAAAATGCATATCAAGGACTCCACACCACACACCTAGCACGTGGCAAGCATTAAAATACATTAGATGCAGTCGGGCATGGTGACTCACACCTATAATCCCAGCACTTTGGGAGGCCGAAGTGGGCGAATCAAGAGGTCAGGAGTTCGAGACCGGCCCGGCAAATATGGTCTTGAACTCTTTTCAGTAGAAACCCCGTCTCTACTAAAAACATGAAAATGAGCAGGGCGTGGTGGCATGCTCCTGTAGTCCCAGCTACTCGGGAGGCTGAGGCAGAAGCATTGCTTGAACCCGGGAGGCAGAGGTTGCAGTGAGCCGAGACAGAGCCACTGCCCTCCAGCCTGGGCAACAGAGCAAGACTCCATCTCCAAAAAAAAAAAGTTAGATGCTATTATTTTCTTATTATTACTCTCAGTAGTTGCTAAATTTCAAACACTAAACATCTGTAATTTTAAATTATATTTAAGAGTAGCAAAGATGAACAGAAGTAAATGTTCTCTAAGAAGGGAAGGCTGGCGCCCCTGCCACGCCAGCCCATGTGTGAAAGGAGCCCGGGTATGCACTGACTAAGCAAGTGCTACGGGAAGGTGGAAACCAGCACCAGCTTTCTGGTCCCCACCAGGGCTCAGCCTCCTGCGTCCTCCTCCTAAGATCACGGTGTCCAATCCACGCCACCTTCTCAGATACCGTCTGCATCTGTAGATCTGATTTCTTGCCCATCAGGTGCCCCTGCCTTCGTGGAACACCCTGCCCCAGTCCTGGGTCAAGGAGGTGGCTCAGTCTCCAGTGCCCAGCGCAGACATGATACCTTCTCTGCAGCTATTCTGGCCCGTGAAGGCCCACCTGCTCCCGCCCCCAGCCATATCCCCAGCAGAATTCATTACTTGTTCATCTGTGTTTCCACAGAACTTTTTTTTTTTCCCAGATAGATTGCAGAAATTTATTAAAATTGGAAACATTGTGGCTGGGCGCAGTAGCTCACGCCTGTAATCCCAGCACTTTGGGAGCCCGAGGTAGGTGGATCACAAGGTCAAGGGATTGAGACCATCCTGGCCAACATGGTGAAGCCCCATCTCTAGTAAAAATACAAAAATTAGCTGGGCATGGTGGTGCATGCCTGTAATCCCAGCTGTTCAGGAGGCTGAGGCAGGAGAATCATTTGAACCAGGGAGTCGGAGGTTGCGGTGAGCCAAGATTACGCCACTGCACTCCAGCCTGGTGACAGAGGGAGACTCCATCTCATAAATGAACAAATGAATGAAGGAATGAATGAATGAATGAAATTGGAGACATTGTTTAATCTTCCTGTGCCATGAGACTCCATAGGCTATCTACAAAGTCCACTGGGAGGCTGAGGATCACTTGAGCCCAGGAGTTTGAGGCTGTAAGTGGGCCTCAAAGAGCCACTGCACTCCAGCCTGGGTGAGCAAGGCCCTTTCAAGGGGTAAACCTCATGCTTGCTTGCTACCACAGAACTTCTTACGATTGCTTAAGAGCCCTCGCCCTTCCTGGCTCTGCCATAATTATCTGCAGCAGACCTGTCTCTCCATTAAAGCAGAAACCTTCGGGTCCCCTGTGCCTCAACTGGCAGGAGCTCACTACATATTTTAATTGAAATAAATAATCAGAAATAATTTTCACTTATTAAAGTATTCTTCTTCTACCCCAGGAAAATGGAAAAGCCAACAAAAAGTTAAAATAAAAATAAGGTTTCTCCCTCTCAAGAAAAATCAGCTGCACTGGCCAAGGAGAATTTACAGTCTCGCTGAAAGTAACTGTGAATTACATGCTGCATACTAAAGATGAAAAAATAACTGTGCTAAGTAGATATCCTTTAATACTTGGCTTAGGTAATAGAGACGGCATTTTCAAGCACAGAAGGCCCAGGCCTAGAAAAGTTTTAATGACATCTGATGGAAGCAGCACACATAAGGAAATCTGTGTCTTACGAAGTCAATATATATTTTATTGAGGAAATAACCATGAATAAATGGAAGAAAAGAGTGTACTTTAGTGAAGTATTTAATGGTCTGATCTAGAAGGTCATTAAGGTAAAGGAGGAAGCAAATGAAATACAGTGACCTGCATACAGAAAGACCTGGGAGCCGCCGCGAGATGAAGAGTGGACCAGGGGACAGTGGCGGCCGCATGAATCACCAGGCAGACAGCTCCAGACACGACCGACTCTGTCAATAACCAGGAAGAGACCCCGCATGCCAGAAGATCAACTGCAGCACAGAAACAGCCAAAAGCAGTCTGAAATGGCTTGAAGGAACCCAACCGAGACAGACAAACGCTAAGATTAAGTCAAAACAAGCAAATTTAAGTTTACAAGGATTAGGAAACATTTTCTCGTAAAATGAATGGTACTCCGTAAATCTGACAAGCATGCTACTACATGCTACTAAAACAAGGATCAGTAAAGTCATCCCAAAGTTTGAGTTACCTGGCTGCCACCTTTAACTAAAATCCATTTCCGTTCAACACAGTGAGCCTTCTGCCAATTTCTCAATCACCTTCATGGAAAACCCATTTCAAAAGCCCCTTCGAGCCAGACCAAAGCCACACACAGCCAGCAGAAAGGCAGCGGGGGCAGTCCCCGCAGGGGTGGGTGGCGGGAGGACCACTGGGAAGAGTGGCTGAAGAGGTCTGAGGCCAGGCAGCCCACAGTGTGACCAACACGTGGGAGCCCCCGAGCCTGCACGCTTCAAATGCCAGCCTCATGTCTGGGCTGCTGTGATCCCCATGACGCATGGGTGCTCTGTGTCTCCTCAGCACCAGAAGCCCGCCCAAACAGCCTCATTATCCTTGTGCCTGCTGTGCCCACGGGGTGTGCAGAGAAGCCAGCGATGGTACCAGGGAACGCGCGGGCAGGAGGAGGCAGCGGTAGGGGAGCAGAAGCTGCCACCAGACCCAGAAACAGCATGAGGGAGTTGCAAAGAGCTACAGCTCAGAGCACAGCTAATTCACCTGCTGCTGAATTTCAAAGTGTCACCCCCACGTTACTTCCAGCCCTACAGCAGGATCACAAAGCACCAGAAGCCTGATTAACCTCCCCAGCGCACAGCTCTGATCATTCCACTCCCTGCCCAAAACCTTCCGGGGCTCCCAACTACATACGGAACAAAGACATCCAGACCTCGGCAACCACCTGCACCAATTCCTTGATTTTACTGATGAGGAGACTGAGACTAAGGCGGGATTAAGTGGCTGGACGTCGGAGGGTGGCAGAGGCAGGATCTGAGCCCAGGATCTCAGCACCACCTCTCCATCCCCAGTGGCTTTCTCACGGCACCATCGCTGCCTCAAATCAGACGCCTCCACCTGGCAGGCCAGACCTTCCAAGAACTGACCCCAGCTGTATTTTTGGCTTTTCCTACCACTGCCTTCTTCTCACACTATCAGTTCTGCAGGGCAGCAGCCTGGACGCTGGCTCTCTCGGACACAGCTGGACTGGAATGCTGGTTCCACCGGCCGGGAGACCCTGAGCCAGGCACTGAGCTTCTGTTCCCTCCCAGAATCGCAGGGGCACCACACACAACGCGCTCAGCACACAGCTCGACACGCCGTTGTGACTGCTGCTGCTGCCGCCCCCGCCACTCGGACTCTGCCCTCTCTACCTCCTCCCCTCAACTGTCCGCTTAAGTGACTCCCTCCCTGGGAGAGTCTTGCCCCATCTCCCACTATGGAAATCACACCCATGAGACAAGATGCACCACAAAGGCCAGCCCTCAGGAGCCCACAGAACTCAAGGGCTCGTCATCGTCTGGCATGTCCAGGCCCTGGCACGGCAGGCACCTACTCATGTCTGACAGATGAATGAAGAGATGGGAACCTGCTTTCTTGTCACCTATGTCTCCTTGCTGGCTCCACCCCACCCCAGAATCTGTCCCTGACAGCTCCTCACCACTCCATCCAATGGGCCTTCCTGACCAGGCCACTGACATGCAGCGAAGTACCAAGGCCTTTCCACGTGGCCCAACACCTCCAGTGCCTGCACTTGGCAAAACAAGCTCATCAGTTACCCGACGCCCACTGGCCCCTGCCCACAGGAACCTGAGGCCAGTCTGCTGCCCTGCACCCAGGCAACTTGGTAATCAGCCTGTCCTACATGACAGCCAAGTGATGGACTCCTGACACACAGCCTGACCTGTGCCAGTCATGCTCCCCAGAGCAAGCCCCGCCTCTGCAATCATCCTGCATGTGAGGGTTCAGCTTCTCAGCCGTTCAGCTGCCCACAGCACTCACGTGAGGACAAAAGGAATGATCTGATGTCTACTATCTCCCAGGAGGATCTGAGTCCTTGATGGAAGAGTGTATCACCACGGAGAGTCCAGCAGGGTCAAAAGCAGAGTTATGTCCTCACGTGATTATAAGAACAAAAATCCTCCAATTATATAATTATTGTTTTTTGATTTTTTTTTTTTTTTTTTTTTTTTTTTTT